ATGGGACATTGGTGTCTTATTTGAGACTGTAGCTTTCCAATATACTGTTCTTAGGTATGTCTGGTTCTTTCAGTATTGATTTAGTCTCAGATAAGCTCAATAAACCAATCAGAGAACAAAACAACTTTTGCATTGAAAGTGGTAACATGCTATATGGGAAGACTTTTGGACATAGAAGTAGATGATCTCCCTGGATGAACCCACCTCCACTACTTACTTGCTAAGTGATCTTAGGCAAATCACTCAACCTTTTTTATTTTAGTAACAGCTTTATTGAGATATGACGTATGTGTTATAAAATTCACCCTTTTAAAGTATAAATTTGTGGGTTTTAGTAAATTCAAAGAAATGTGAAACCAACATCACTATCTAATCTAAGAACATTTTCATCACCCCGAAAAGAAACTCCATACTCATTAGCAGTCAATTCCCATTCATCCTCCTTCCCCCAGGCCCAAGCAACCACCCATATATTGTCTCTGTGGATTTGCCTATTCTGGAAATTTCATATAAATGGAATCATTGATATATGTGGTCTTTTGTGACAGGCTGCATTTACTTAGCATGTTTTCAAGGTTCTTCTACATTGCAGCATATATCAGTACTTCATTGCTTTTTATAGCTGAATATTATTCTGTTGTGTTGATATGTAACTTTTTGTTTATCCATTCATCAGTTGATGGACATTTGAGTTGTTTCTACTTTTTGGCCATGAGGAAAACTGCTGTGAACATCCATGTACAAGCTTTTGTGTGCATATGTTTTCATTTCCCTTATGCCTAGGAGTGAAATTCCTGGGCACCTAAAGTTTTTGAAACTCTTTTTTTCCCCTCTGTAAAATGGGCGTCAGGGAGAGTTAGAATTGCCTTCCCAACCTACCCTAAAATGACTTTTTTTCAAATAAAAGACCAGGGAACTTCCTCAAGCTGATAAAGGCATCTATGAAAAATCCACAACTAACATGACATCTAATAGTGAAAGACTAATGCTTTCCTCCTAAGATCAGTAACAAGACAAGGATGTCTACTCTTGCCATTTCTATTGTATTGGATGTTCTATGCCTGGCAATTAGGCAAAACACAAAACAAATGAACAAAAATATATAAAAGCTATCCAGTTTGGAAAGAAGTAAACCTATCTCTTTTGGCAGATGACATAATCTTATACATAAAAAAATCAAGGTATCTACTTTAAAAATAATAGAACTAACAATAAGTTTAGCAAGGTTGTAGAATATGAGATCAATATATAAAAATCAATTATAGCTCTATACATTTGCAATGAACTATTCTAAAATGAAATTAAAACAATTCTGTTTAGAATAGCATCAAAAAGAATAAAGTACTTAGGAATAAATTTAATAAAAGATGCAACTTGTACACTGAAAACTACAAAACATTGTTGAAAAAAATTAAAGATCTAAACAAATGGAAAGACAGCCCATATGGCTTGAAGACTTAATATTGTTAAGATGGCAGTACTCCCCAAATTGATCTGTAGGTTCAATGTAATCCCTGTTAGAATCCCACCTGACTTTTTTGCAGAAATTGAGAAGCTGATCCTAAAACTCGTAAGGAAACTCCAGGAACCCAGAACAATAAAAACAATCTTTGAAAAAGAGGAACATAGTTGAAGGACTCACTCTTCCCAATTTCAGAACTTACTATAAAGCAATAATAATCAAGAGTGTCATCCTGGCATAAAGATAAAGCATGGAATAGAATTGATAGTCCGGAGACAAACTCTCACGTTTTTGGTCAGTTAATTTTCAAAAAGAATGCCAAGACCATTCAATGGGGGCAAGAACAGCCTTTTCATCAAATGATGCTGGGACAGCTGGATATCCACAGGCAAAAGAATGAAGGTGGATCCTGAACTTACATGTAAGAGCTAAAACTGTAATGAAATTAGTAGAAGAAAATAAAGGGGTAAATTTTTGATGGCTTTGGATTTAGCCATGGATTCTTAGGTATGACACCAAAAACACAAGCAGCAAAAGAAGAAATAAATAAGTTGGACTTCATCAAAAGTGACTTAACCATGAAAAGATGCTCACCCACTCATTAGTAAGAGAAAGATAATGCAATACCATTTTTTTTTTTTTTTT